CCCAGTTGTCATAACAGGGAAGATTTTTATCCAAAAGATGTGGGCTGCCGGTCTGTCATGGGACTCGCCGTTACCTGACGATCTTCGTGATGAATGGCTCAATTACCGCTCCAAGCTGGGAGTCCTTAGTAAAATCCGCATTGGCCGATGGTTGGGTATGGTGCCACATGCTCCGACAACATTGCATGGCTTTTGTGATGCCAGTTCACATGTTTACGCGGCCGTTATTTACACGGGCACAGCCGACGATGATGGCACTGTGCGTTTCTCACTCCTTACCACGCGAACCAAGGTGGCTCCACTGAAGGGCGCTACAATACCACGCCTGGAGCTTTCGGCAGCGCTGTTATATCACCCGAGGAGCTGATGAGCCACCCGCTTTGGTGGCATGGACCTAATGGTACAGACGCGTACCCAGGTGGCCAAGAGATCCCCTCAGCTACGACGAATCTAAGGCGCTCTGTTCAGAGGCGCGAATCGTTTCGAGCTTTACCAGCGCACTTCTTCACCAGCCACTGGAGACTCGGAGACCAGATGGGCAGGTCATGTTGTTAGCAGAACGCTTTAGCTCGATTCAGCGATTACTGCGCACGGTAGCTATTATTCTACGTTGGTTGCAGAGACGCCGACATTTCCGTCAAGCGGTCATAGGAGCTCGGGAAATGGACGACGCCTTGGAAGGACTGATCCGTCCTGACCAACATACGCACTTCATGGTTGAGATTAAGCAGCTGGAAGCCGGTTCAGGTTTGTCATCTTCCACGCGATTGCTCTCACTAAATCCATTCCTAGATAAGAACCACATCCAGCGCGTCGGAGGGCGGATCGAAAACGCAGAGTTGGGTCATGACCAGCGATTTCCATTGATTCTTCCGAAGTCTACCCCGCTCGTCAAGCTTTTAAAAGAACAAGCCCACGAGACTAAGCTCCGTGGAGGGGCGCAGCTAATGCTACATACCCTTCGCCGCAAGTTTTGGATTCTGCATGCGAGGCAAGCCGTCAAGAGTTTTGTTCATAAATGCGTAGTGTGTCGTCGCCATCGAGGACTGATGTTCAAGCAGCAAATGGCTCCATTACCCGGGGAGAGAGTCAAGCCTGCACGACCATTTGTTTCGTCGGGAGTCGACTACTGTGGCCCGTTTACGCTGCGAATCGGAACTAAGCGCTCTCGCACTCTCGTAAAGACGTATCTCGCAATCTTCATCTGCATGGTTACTAAAGCCGTTCATATAAAAGTGGTGGACGACTTATCGGCGCAAGCTTTCCTCGACGCCTTCACTCGCTTCGTCAGCCGTCGTGGCCCTTGCCGTGACCTATATAGCGATAATGGCACCGCGTTCGTTGGTGCTAACCGTCTTCTCCAGGAGGACTTCGTGGCGTGGCACAGCGAAAGCAATCACCGGGCATTGGCCAGCATGGGCACTAATTGGCACTTCATCACACCCGGTGCTCCGCACCAAGGTGGCCTCTGGGAGGCGGCGGTCAAGAGTGCCAAACATCATTTGGTCCGCTGCGTGGGAGCGCAAAGTATGTGGTACAGTCAATTGCAGACTCTGGCTGTGCGCATCGAGGCATGCCTGAACTCGCGTCCTATCACCCCGCTGTATGACGACCCGCAGCAGAAGATTGCATTAACGCCGGGTGACTTTCTGATAGGCGCTCCACTCCTGGCGGTGCCTGAGCCGGATGTCCGCGACATCCCAACCAACCGGTTAAAGCAGTGGCAATGGGCACGGCAAGTCCACCAGGAGTTCTGGAAGCGGTGGAGTGAGGAGTACCTGACCACTCTGCAGAGGCGTAATAAGTGTCAGAAGCGATCACCAGATATCCGAGTCAACGATATTGTGTTAGTGAAGAACGAGAACTTGCCCCGCACTCATTGGCGTATGGGTCGCGTAATGACCGTGCATCCTGGGAACGACGGAATCGTCCGCAACGTCACATTGAAGACTACCAGTGGACAACTCAGCCGAGCTGTTCAGAAATTGTGCCGCCTATGCGAGCAGGAAGATTTCGAGTCACCCGACTCGACCAGGCAGGGTGTTGTGGATTGCGCTAGTTAAGCCTACTATTTAAGTTGTATACATATACCTGGTGTAAACTGACCATAACATTTGTACATGCTTTAGTTGGCAGCCCTAAACAATCGATAGTCGAGTAATCTGACATCTTGTTATTTTCTATTTTCATTTACGTTATTCTACCATCAAGGAATTTTGTATAAAAGCCGAACTAAGAATATAGCTTATTTCTATTTTATCTATATATAAATACGCCACAAGAAAATTTTGCAATCTTTTTTTGAAGGCACCGTGCGCTCGATTTCAATGAAACATACACCGATTTAAAAGATATAACTTGCTCTAATCCAGAAATGTTAATTCCAACACATAGGGGGCGTGGTATCTGACATATAGACTAAAATGTGAAAACCACTATATCTCTAAAACCAATTATGCTGGAGAACTGAAACTAAGCACAGATGCATGGATTGTAAATACCCTACTTACTGTGAAAAATGGTAGGTACTGAAAAAGTGGGAGAGGCACTTCCCATACAAACTGAAATTTTCATATCGCTTATCTCTGGAACCACTTATGTTAACGTCCTGAACTTGGACACAGCAACTTATGTTGTCAATACCGTACTTACGGCGAAAAGTGGTAGATTTTGGAAAAGGGGCGTGGCACCGCCCAAAAAAACTGAACTCATATCGCTTATCTCTGGGGCTGCTTATGCTAACATCCTGACTTTTAGCACAGCTATTTACGCTAACAGTAACGTGTTTACGGCGAAAAGTGGTAGATAATGGAAAAGGGGCGTGGCACCGCCCCATACAAACTGAAATTCTCTTATCGCTTATCTCTGAAACTGCTAAAGCCAACGTCCTGAAATTTGACACAGCCACATATGCTGTCAATACCGTACTTATGGCGAAAAGCGGTAGGTATTGAAAAGGGGGGCGAGGCATCTCCCATACAAGCTGAACTTCTCATTTCGCTTATCTGTGTATCCGCTTATGCTGACGTTCTGAAATAGTACGCAGCTGCATATGTTATCATTACCGAACCGAAATGCAATTTCCATATCGCTTATATCTGGAACCACCTATGATAAAGTAATGGAATTTGATACACCTACATCTATAATATAAAATGGGAAGAATCATTCAATAGGAACCATTTTCTTCCAGATTTCTGTATCGCATTGAATGATTGTTGGTTCAGTGCTTTTTGTCTTCCGTTAGGTGGCGCAGGGGATAAGAGTAGAGATGGGCATGGGACTAAATATTAAGTCCCGATCCCGACCATCCCGAAATTAAATTTTTAATTTCCGAACCCGCTCATGCCGACGTTTTTCAGAATTGTACCGCGGGCCCCGGGGGCCCCGAAATCTATCTCTAAAAAATTCACAAGTCTTGCAAATTAATTTTAAATAAAATAAATTGTATGAAAGATCTGGCATCCTCTGATTATTTTGTTTTGCTTTGCTGTTCGTTTTCGTCTCAATAAAACATAAAAAGGTAATTTTTCATACAAATTTTTAAGGAAGATTTTCTTAATTTTCGGAGGTTGAGGTTTTATCGGGAGTACCGGGAGGTTATTTTGGTCCCGTTCAGTATTGGTGATAAGCAAAATTTAAAAGCGTATGAAAAAATGTCGAATTTCGACAACTGGGCTATACTAGTTGAAATAAACGTGCGAGTAGCACACATCACATCATCCGGAGTTGCAGTCTGTTTAATCTCTAACAGGGGCTATTCAAGTATTGTATATGTAACCACCAGTGGGAAGCGGGGGGATTTGGTTTGCTTATTTTTGATGACAAGGGGCAACATTTCTTCATACAAAACATTAATTACAGACGCACAAATTTTGCCTGCAATTTCGATCACAACTGAACACTGCACTTCACTCTCGTTTCGAATTTTTGAAAACGCTTTTTAAGCTATTTAGTGGTTTAACACTTCTTGGAGGCACTTGGTATTGTAAAAAAAATATGCGCAATTCGATCCCTAACGACATTTTTTTTGTAAAGACGGGCGTTTTCTTGAAATTTGTAAAATTACAATAATTTTTTTATTTTGTTTACATCTGTCATTTGTTACAAATAAAGAAAAGTCTAAGAGTTACCAAATATAAATATTTTTATATTCTATTTATTAAAATAATAATTTACAATAATAATTTATTTAATGAATACTTTATTAAAACACAAATTTAAAGTCCTAATACATTTGTAAAACTATTTATCACAAAATGTTATTAATTGTTTGCAAGCGTACTATAGTTTTCATGCATTTTGAAAACAAATAAGGGAATATGGATACATATATCGTCGTTTAAAATACAAAACCGCGTATCGTCATTCTGCAAAACTGCGTAACTGACATTTGCTGCCAAAAAAACACAAGCTCTTGGCTCTATCCTTATCCATTCGTCCTGAAATATACTAGCCAGAAATTCGATTGCTATATAAAAAGAGAACCATTTTGAAATATGAATGTTTTACTCTCTAGAAAATAATTTATGCAACCTCACATACGCGGTTTTGCATTTTGTTGGTACGCGGTTTTGTACTTTAAACGACGATATGTGTGTACTTCCACTCCATAGGACCATGGTTAGATCCCTGGTCAGATCATAACTCAAAATAGCCGTCGTCCTTCGGAACGCAATAGCAAACCTTCGAGTATATTTCTGTTTCGAAAACTCTTCTTATAAAATCATTTACAATTCGATTCCAGCTAAATACTAACTACAATTTAAAACTAATTTTGTTCTTAGATTTAGTTATTTATGTAGCGTGACCAGCACTAGAAAATAATTTGTTTAATTGTTGTATACAGATTAAAGTAAATACAAATACAATGACAAAATATATTTTTTTTTAACTTTTATTTCAACATAGATTGGTTAAAAGAAAAATATTGAAGAAAATAAAATATTTCACACAAACAGGGTTGAAATTTTGAAATTCCTGCCCGTATTTTGGTTGTAAGTCAAATATTAGTGGCATTGTGCTACTATGATTGCACGGCCGAGTAATCATAGTCAACTAATGTACAGTAGTTGAAAAAATTATAGCCGCATAAAATTTTGACAAGTTTTAAAATATTATTTTTGTTGTTATTTAATTTTGGTTAGTTTTTTATAGTTCATTCTTTAACAACATCCGTATAAATACAAGTTTAAAGGCAGTGTCACACGATTGGGTATTCGCCGAAATTTGGTGCAAATCGTATCCCAATTGTGTGAATACCCAAATATTTTTCTTTATCCCAATCACGAAAAATAATTTTTTGAAATTTTTCGATAGAAGATTGCTGTATTGGACCAATCTTTTGACTATCAATAGCCTAATATAAAAAGAATGTAAAAAAAATATTTTTTAAAAACAAGCTTTTATTTAGCCGTACAATCAAAGGAATAAAATGAAGTAGTGTAACAAAAGATTTTTTAGCAACAAAATTTTGTCAAAACTCGCTAAAGTTACTAAAAGCCATTTAGTGAAAGGAGTTAATTCAACCTCTAATGAAAATTACTAACAATTTGTACTAATTTACTCCGTTTTTAAAAAAGCTTGTCGCGCGAATAGCAAACCGGCATTAAATATCTGCAGACGTACATATACATACATACCTAACCAATTATGCATGTACGCTGAATTCGCCGACAAGCTTTTTTAAAAACGAAGTAAATTAGTACAAATTGTTAGTAATTTTCGTTAGAGTTTGAATAACTCCTTTCACTAAATGGCTTTTAGTAACTTTAACGAGACCTTAACTTATTTTATTTTATTCATTTTTGTGCAGTTTTGACAAAATTTTCTTGCTAAAAAATCTTTTGTTACACTACTTCATTTTATTCCTTTGATTGTACGGTTAGATAAAAGCTTGTTTTTAAAAAAATATTTTTTTTACATTATTTTATTTTATAATTTTTAGTCCATTTATAAAAGCGTTGTATATTAAAAAGTTTTATTTTATTTTATGTAAAAAAATTTGCAATAGATATTAAAATAATTCAACTTGCAATGAAAGAGAACAGAAGACTTGGCAAGCAAAATGTTGTTTGCTTACGTTTTGTATAAACATTCATATGTACATATAGCATCAGTAAATTTTATTTCAAGAAATTGCGTGTCGTCCATTTTCGCTGTAGCATGGCATATATTTAGGCACAATATTTAACTTCTTCTGGCGGGGCGACATCTGGAGTCTTCTAATTCCTACAACGAGGTTCATATCTAAACTAGGTTGATATCTAGAATTTGCCACAGATAGCTTTGCTACACTACCGCCACGGCGCGCCGGCAGCTTTAACAAATTTTTTAGTGGTTTTACGTTCTTTGGCAAATTACGGTATGTTAGCCATAAATCTTACTATTTTTTGACCGCCTTTGAATCAAGACCCCTGGACCATATGGGGAATTCATTTATATTTTAGATTGCATTGTCATCGTGATTGGAGCTATGCTGAAAATTTCAAGTCTCTAACTTGTCGGGAAGTCAGTTTAAAATCGATTGGAAATTTCCGCGATTTGCGCGGGATGACCAAGTTAAATAAAAGCTTATAAAAATGCCCAAATCTGTACAAACGTAGTAATCTAGCGACACTGCCTTAAGAATGTTTGCCATTAAAAAAAAAATCAGCAAACTTTGCAAAAATTTCGAGTTTTTAATTAGATTCTGAGTATGCAGTTTCGTAGCCCATTGAATTCTAGTAGAATAAAGTACAAGTTTCAAATGTAGTCCGGTCAAATTAGACCAAAAATAGGAGTGAAGTTACAAAAATTCCCACCCAGCTGAAAATTGGTAGGATTGTTCAAAACACCATCATAAATGGAATCTAGAAAGTCCTCACCGATCCGATACCTGGAAAAAAATTTACTCGGGGTCAAAGGTCACAAAAACGGGTTTTTCGCGATTTTCAGCAAAACGGTAAGTTTATCATAAAATTAGTTTAGACAAAAATTGTAAACAGATAATTATATATAAAAAATATCTAAATACTTTTTGTCCTAAGAGCCACCGTTTCCGAGATATAACGGTTTCCACGTC